ATATGGCTTTAGATAGGAACCTTTGGAGAACTAGGATTAGAGTAGCTGGTTAGGAACTCGGTGCTATAGAGGTTTTTGTAGTGTGTTGTGTTTGTTTGGAATCTTTTATTAATGCTTGTAGAACTTTCTTTTCATTGTACTTGGTGTTTTATCCATGCTATTCTGTATACCCTATCATATCTTTTGTGCAGGTTGAGCCAGGGGTCTCATGGAAACAGCCTCCCTGCTTCCAAGTAGGGGCAAGGTCTGCGTACACACACCCTCCCCAGACCCTACTGTAGTGGGATCCAACTGGGTTGTTGTTGTTGTTCTTCACCCATGAGATGTGATATCATGCGAGTAATATGATTTTTTGGACTGGAATACAAATCCTCTTTTTTTTACTATAAACTAGAATCACAAAGGTACAGTCAGTCACAAAAAAAGAGGGCTAGAAAGCCTCACCTGTGGTATATCTACAATGTTATGGCATGCTTCAATCTGTTGCAAAACTAGGGGCTTAGAAGGAGCTGCAAAAACAATTTTTCCTGCCATGATGTCACATATACAAAGTAAATACTATATTTTTGGTATGCTTAAGCTTTTTCCTCAACCAACAAAGTCAAAAGCACACAACTAAGAGGTTAAAGAGGGTTATGATGTTACAGTTGTTCCTTTTGGATAGAAACTGCTAGAATAAAAACATAAATTTCAAAAAAAAAAAAAGCCTTTCACAATTCATGCAAACTAATGAAGTCATTGTGTAAGGTACATGTAGGTTTGAATCCAAAGCAATGCAAATGTTAGAAACTCTGAATTTGTATGTGATGCCCATAACTTCCTGCATAAAGAGCTCATCTTTATTGACAAAATAAGGAATATTCGCTCCAATAAATAACTCTACTTCAGTAAATATGTATATAATTCATTACAAGAAATTAAGACCTTATCAAGACAACATTATTTTCAGCTTAGTTGGACCTTACTGAGAGTAATGAGATCTTATCTATATTCAGCTTTTGCAGTGTTTAGATAGGATTGCCATAAGCATATTGATATA